CAGCCAGTTTCTTGGCACTATAATATATAGGAGGAAAGAGCTAGAAGATTGTGCGCTTGCGGAACTATACCGTGTCCATTCCTTTCTGCTTGCGCAGCGCTGGATCTCAGCCAGTGTTTGCATTTCAAGTTCTCACAGTAGACATTTTTGTTTGGAGGGAAGGGACATTTGCATGGCACAACAGAATAATTGACGAGCGCTTTGGGTTACTAGCTGTTAGATAGGCTGAGAAGCAAGAATTAGCAGTGCTCTGTTGGATTAACCATAATGGTTGTTCACAAACAGTGGCAAGATGCATCGCAGCTACAAAGGCTGGCTTTTGTGGTTTGTGTTGCTCTTTGCACGAAAGCGAACAAGTGCATATTCAAGCGCCGAACAGATGTTTGGTTGTCATGGCCATTTATTATTCATTCCCTAATTGTAAGAGCCCTTGCGGTAGCTAATGTGTTCGGCATTAGGGAGTCTCCATGTCTCTTCTAACCTTTCGCACTTAAGGGAGCAGGCGTGTTCGTGCCTGTAGCTTTTACTTGAAGACATGCTTGCAAGACCATGATCTCTAATCAAGGCTCTCATTGACCATATGTCACCAAAAATACCTGCGGAAGCCATAAAAAAATGATTGTACAGAATAGAACAAAATTTCCCGGTGGCATTATCAGACACGAAGAGCTAAGGATACCAAGCGGGTCGAAAGATAGCATTAATAACATGTGTCAGAGTATTTAACAAGTTCTGGAGCAGGTGGCGGAATAGTCACGCCTCTCTCTTTAACAACTTGGTTGAAGCGCAGAAGCCAAAATTACTCTGCAGGGATGACTTGGACTGAAGTGTCGATTACATGCGTATTTGCTAAAAGGGATTCTGCTTCTTTGGTCCGGTTCAGATATCACTTCTCCTCCTGATGGTCCTGGGAAGTCAGAAGTTCAGCCTTAAACTCGCTCTTCGCTCCTCTTTGGTGTAGTGGTTAGGACCACGGGCTCTAATCTGGGTTTGATTCCCCACTCCTCCACATGCAGCTGCTGGGTGACCTTGGGTCAGTCACAAGCTCTCTCAGAGCTGTTCTCTCAAGAGCAGTTCTCTCAGAGCTGTCTCACCTCCACCTACCTCAGAGGGTGTCTGTTGCGGGGAGAGGAAGGGAAGGAGATTGTAAGCCGCTCTGAGGCTCTGATTGAAGGACCGGATATAAATCCAACTCCCAAATGGCAGAACATTTATTTGAACCTCTTAAGCTTTTGATTTCCCAATAACCAAGGAAGTCCCACGTTCATGTAATGGTGGGAACTCTGATTTGGTCACTCACTTCTCCCCACAGTAAGAGATGAGGCCCAAGCTGTGCACCTTCTCTATGGGCTGGGCAAAATACAGAATAGAGGCTTTCAGTGTCCAGTGTTGTATGCTTTGTTCTAGTTTTGTTTGCACAGGAGACTAATTGGGTCTTTACCATGCCCTCACAAAACCCCTTCCTGTTGTGCTTTTCAGGATAAGATATCACCACTGCTGTATTCCTTTCAGCCTCTAAGACAAGTCTGTATGGCTTGTTGTCACCTGTGGAACCAAATGCAGCTCACCAGAGGCCCTGAAACCTCTCCCAGTACAGGCCATTGTCTAGAGACTCCTTTAGGCTTAATAACCTGACTGGCTTATTCCAAGGTCTGGGTTGCTTCTGGCACACAGTACCAGCCGAGCCTATATTTTTCACCACCCTCTTTTGAAATATCTCCCGTCATCAAACACAAAATGCTCTTTGAACCTTGTTAGTACCTTTTAGATATTCTTTCTTGTACATCTCTGCGATGCGGTTGATAAAAAGCAACCGTGTTCTCGCCGCCCAGCGTTTCTTCTAATTTAGGTGAATCCCTGCATGAAATCTGACGCTGTGGCCATTCTGTGCCTTTCACGGAAGCTTTCCGACAGCACCGTTACCTGCTTGTGAATCAGACTGCGCTTTCTGTGAATTCTTTCATTGGCGCTTAACTAGCAAACATCGAAGAGAAAATGGACAGGTGCATTGTATCAGTTGTGTGGCTCTTAGTATGTGATTGCGGAATGTGATGCTGCTGATAGTATGGGATGAAGATTGTACATGGCCCTGTACTGCTTTCCTGAGCATGCGGATGCCTCGCTGTCATGAATCACGGCACTGTATTCAAGTCCACTCTTGTCTTATTGTCCTGAAGGTGCAAATTGCTGTTGTCAAATAGCAGAATGGGGGAAAAAAATAGCAGAATGAAACTGCTGTGTGGGGCCGACCCTGGCAAGTATTTGGATGGGAGACTTCCGGAGAATACCAGGGTGGGGAGGCAGACGCAGGCTATCGAGCCACCTCTCTGAACATTCTCTGTGTCACAGTAGGAGTCGCCAGCGGTCACGACTTCCAGACACGAGCACGCACACACAAACACACAAATGCAAAAATACCAAAAAAAAAAAGCAGAATGAAACTGACAACCCTTACAAATCGTGCCAATTTTGTGGTTTTGATACTAGATATGAAGTAAATTAGGCCCTGACGGGGATAGCCCAATCTCACGAGATCCCTGGTTAATATTTGGATGGGAGGCCACCAAGAAATACCAGGGTCACTATGCAGAGGCGGGCATTGGCAAACCACGCCTGAACGTCACTTGCCTTGAAAACGCTGTGGGGTTGCCATTGGCTGGCTGCCACCTGATGGCTAAAGGGGGGGAAATAGTAAATTTAGGAGATGGATCCAGGCCCTCCGGTCTTCCGCCATCCTCTGAAGTTTGCTCAACTTCATGTTCGTTGCATCGATGACACTGTCTAACCATCTCATCCTTTGCCGTCCCCGTCTTCTTTGACCTTCAATCTTTCCCAGCATCAGGGTCTTCTCCAGTGAGTGCTCCCTTCTCATTTGGGGGCCAGAGTATTTGAGCTTCAGTTTCATTATCTGGCCTTCCAGGGAACAGTCAGGGTTGATTTCTTTTAGGATTGACTGATTTGATTACATTACGCACACGTTTTTATTGAGAAATATGCAAATTCGCTTTTTATTAAGATTAAATGAGACTGCCAAAAATAAAAACAAAAGGGGTAAAAACAGATATTTATAATGATTCTTATTTGTTTGCTAATGATATTTATTTGTCAAAGAGAGATAAAGAGAGAGCAAGGTGGAAAGAAAGAATGAAAGAGGTGGAAAGAAAGAGAGAAAGGGAGAGAGAGAAAGAAAGCAAATAGATGAGGGAGGGGGAGGAAGGAAGGAAGCGAGACAGAAAGAAAGAGAGAGAGAAAGAAACAAAGAAAGCAAATAGATGGGGAGCCTGCCGGGAGCCGCACAATATGTGTGAAAGAGCCGCATGTGGCTCCCGAGCCACAGTTTGGCCACCCCTGGTCTATCCGTTTCACATCTTAATTTGGCAAAGGCCATATTAGGACCTCCTGCAAGATGGACTGCTGCCATTTCAGATTTGCACCACACACACTGTGGAGTTGCTGTGTCCACCTCTCAGAAGTCCGGCTTGCAGCCCTAAGCCGGAGCACTGATTGGGACTGGGAGGAGGAAGGGTCGGGGGGGGGGAGCAGGAGACTCAGGGCCACTGCACCTGGCATTGGCTCAGCCAGGTGGCTAACCTCCTACTTTCTGCAGCCTGCCATCATTTGGCCAGCT